GGAAATAAAAAGGATAAAACTGTTTACCATAAGGATCACATCTCGTGCCCAACAAATCATGACACCTGCCTCCCCACTTTGTCCTCTCCTTCGCCTCGCCCTCACCCTCACCCTCACCCTCACCCTCGATCCCCTCCGCCTTCCTCTCCCCAAGCAAACACCCATCCTCAACAACCCCACACAACGGCCTCAAAAACGGCAGGCAACTCCACAAGCGATCCCCAACCCGCAAATGGCTACTCTGCAACTGCCGCGTCCGGGCCGCCCAGAACTTTTCCCGCGCATCACTCGCGTTCCAGACGTTCAGGTCGCCGACTTGTGCGCCCTGGGGCGTCGAGAGGCGGAATAGGGAGCCTGCGGGGACGAGGAAGGCGTGGGCGGAGCGCGGGGGGATGAGGTGCGTGTGGGTGGGGTGGAGGGAGGAGGGGGGCAGGGAGCGGAGGTGCGAGTAGAGGGTTGAAGGGGGGTGGAGCGGCGAGAGCGGTGAGGTGGGGAAGTAGGCTGGTTTGGGGGGTGTGTCGGTGGTGGAGGGAGGCATTGTTGATGGTGAAGTGGTGGTTTGAAAAGAATGGATAGATAAAGATTGATACAATGGTTTGGGGTGTTACCATGGGATTAGGTTGGGATACGTAGGGTTGGTATGTATGTTATGGGATTCAAAGCCGGTGATAACCGTTTGGGCATCCGATGTCGGGAGGGGGGGATTATGCAGTGACAGATTGTAGGCTCACTTTCTTATCAGGAATAATGACATACCACGGGTACAGAGACACACACTTGATCCAGATGATGGATATATTCTATATACCTAAACCACACTTTTCGACACTGATACCGTGTCTTTTGGATAAAACACACCCGTGCCACATGCGATATGGATAAATGAAAATTTTGAAATGATAAACAAATCACAGACAACATCATACACTTACACGCCTGCGCTCAGAACATCAGCCTGCTCACCATTTACCGCAGCCTCGAGCTTATCCACGACAGAAGTGCCATTCTCTTTCTTTGAATCACGTGTTGGACTCGATCCTGGGGTAGGAATTTCCAGAGTATTCGATCGCTTAGGGCGGAAGGGAATGGGCGTTGTTGGTCTCGATGACAGGAACTAAAATCAGTCAGCACTTCCCCCAGTCCCCAACCCCCACCATGAGACTCACCGAAGAAGCAGCGCTCAACATGGCAATCAGAGACGCTTGAACCACATCCTGGTGGATTCCCACACCCCAAACCTTGTGGCTGCTCTGAGCAGCAGTACATCCAATGTACGTCGCTGCTTTAGCATCCTTGCTTGTACCGATAGTATGCTCATTGTAATCAACAACATCCAGATCGATACCCAGACTCCTCAGCGCATCAGCCAGCGACGACAGAGCACCGTTTCCCGATCCGCGAATGCTGTGTTCCTGACCATCAATCTCGATGACACCGGTAAAGATACGGCGGAGGTTCTGGGTGCTGACCGTCCTACCCTCTTGCGGCGGTTGAGGAGTCGCCGAGCGATCAGCCTTGATCTCATAGTCGACAAGAGAGAAACGGGGGTTGCGCTTGAGATGGTACGCCTCTTCGAAAAGAGCCGTAATCTCACTGGGCAGAAGCTCGCGGCCGAGCATATCTGTCTCCTTTTGCACAATCTTGGAAAAGGCAATTTGCAGACCACGCGGGAGGTCGAGTTCGAGCTGGCGCTGGATAATCCAGGCAATGCCTCCCTTTCCACTTTGCGAGTTGACGCGGATGATGGCTTCGTATGTACGACCGATATCCTGTGGGTCCAGAGGCAGATATGGGATTTGCCATCGGCTCTCGTTTGTCGCGCCGTTCTTCTTGCGCATCTGGAATCCCTTCTTGATAGCATCCTGATGTGAGCCACTGAAGGCGCACACGACAAGCTGGCCACCATACGGCGCACGAGGATGGACTGGGATCTTGTTGCAGCTCTCGACCATGTCGATGACTGACTTGAGATCCGAAAAGTCAATCTTGGGGTGGATTCCCTGGGTATACAGGTTCAGGCCCAGGGTGACGAGGTCAACATTTCCAGTACGCTCTCCATTGCCAAACAGCGTGCCCTCTACACGGTCTGCACCAGCCATCTGGGCCAGTTCTGCAGCTGCAACGGCGCAGCCACGGTCGTTGTGTGGGTGCAGCGACACGCAAATCTTCTCCCTTTCGCTAATGTTCTTGCAAAAGTACTCAATCTGGTCGGCGTACACGTTGGGCGTAGACATTTCAACCGTAGCTGGCAGGTTGAAAATAATTGGGTTCTCGACTGACGGTTCCCATGCAGCCTTGACGGCCTCACAGACTTCAATGACAAACTCTGGCGAAGAGTCTGAAAATGTCTCTGGGGAAAACTCGTACGACCAGTGGGTGCCAGCCTGCTCCGGATCATCCTTTGTAATTGATCGCGCGTACTTTGTGCACTCGACGGCAAGAGCAATCGTCTCCTCGTTGTTCATGTCGAAGACAATCTGCTGGAAGCACGGGCTCGTGGCAAGGTACAGGTGGAGGATGGCGTTGCGAGCGCCCTTGAGGGAGTCGACGGTTCGGCGGATGAGCTCTTTACGGCAGGGCGAAAGGACTTGTATGGAGACATCGTCGGGGACTATGCCGGGTGTCTGGATGAGGCGTTGTGTAAAGTCAAAGTCAGTTTGCGACGCCGAAGGAAACGAGACCTCGATTTCCTTGTAGCCAAGCTTGACGAGCATCTGGAAGTAGTCCCATTTTTGCGCTCCGTCCTAGGGCCCGTGTTAGTGCAGGTTGTTAGGTGCAGCGGATGCGGACATACCATGGGGTCGACTAGACTCTGGTTGCCATCTCGCAGATCGGTCGACAGCCAGCGCGGTGGCTTGTCAATAGTCTTGTTAGGCCATGTCCTGTCCGGCAGATGTAATGGCTTAAACGGCTGGTACTTTTTCCATGGCTCTGCAAGCATCGGCATGTTGAAGTGTGGTCGCGCGGATTGCTTTTTTTCTCTCTCCCTGAGTCAAAGTTAACTGGCTCACGCTAAGCGGCGATGAATGCAAGTCGTCTTTGTATGAAGTGGAATGACAAGACGAAGACGTCCGGAGGGTACGTGGTGAATATATGAAGAGACAGACGGCAGAGAGGTGAGACTAATTAGTAAAAAAGTATGGTGGTATGAATCACATCCCAGAAGGAAAAAAGAAAAAAGTCTGGTGCTCGGTGATTCAACGCGCCTAAGCCGTCCAGTGAATGGCATATGACGATGCGGGGCGCAGAAAATCGCTTGCGGCCTGTGCTTCCCAATTGCGGGGTCCGACTTCGGCTGGCGTCACTGACAGCCAGCCGGCCAATCCGGCAGTGGGTATTAATTGTATACGAGATGTGGAAAGCATTATACGGGACAGAGAAGACATGGACGAACTGCAGTGTGCATGGGCAGCTGAAAGGGGGTACGCCAGTGTATGTAGAGATTGGCCCGCAGAGAGCGTCAGGCGTGTTCAACACTTTGGCCTGCGGGGTGTGTGTGTGTGTGTGGGAACGCAAAGCAAGACAAGGCCGAGCGGATATTTCAGGAACGCCGTCTAGCGCAGACTCCAATTCGACACCAAAGACGCCGCTGGTTACAAAAAATAACGCCCGCATCCCATGTACATACAGATAGACAGGCAAACACACACCACGTCAGTCCACAGTATGTCTGTTTCACCGATCCTGATCCCTGCTTAGAACACAGGCACCCTCAGCCCACAGCAGTCAATCTCGCTGCCCTTGACCCCAACAGTGCGTCCAAAGTAGAGACTGCCAAACTCCTGCACAAACGCCCGGTCCGCCTCTGACCAGGTATCGAGTCCCATGCGTGAGAGATCGTCCTGGTCTATAATCAGTGTCTTGCCGTCATCATCGTCGTCGTCGTCGCTGTCGCGCTCGCCCTGCTCGTCGGCCTCGATGATTTGCGCCAGAGACTGGATGAGCAGCGAGGACTGGCGGTGAAAGTAGGCGATAATTGCTGTTTCCACCGACTGAGAGTACTCGGCCAAGTCGCCAATGAGCTCGCGATCCGCCTCGCGCTCTGCAGTCGCATATGCATCTCTCTCACCCGCGGAAGCCCACCACATGTAGCCCATGTATGCAAGCCGTGACCAAGTCATGGGCTCAACAACTGTCTCGTCGTATGCTTCGTTGAAGTCGTCGTCGGCGCGTTGGCCATCCACCTCGTCGCGTGACAGTAGCGGTGCCGTGTCGTCGTTTTCGTCGTCTGTATACGCCTCGGGTGCCGTCTGTGACCGGTTGCGCTGCTTGTATAACTCCCTGTGAAGCATTTTGTAGCGTGCAACGTCCCGCTGGCTAGCTTTGATCAGACTACCGTCGCTCGTCCGTATCCGCGGCCAGCGTCGCTCTTGTGGTGGCGCATCGTATGTGTGTGGGAGCTCGACGACAATGTCGTACAGCTTAGTCTTGGTAGTGATGATTTCGTCCGTCGTGCATGCCACCCATCCAACCGACGCCTCAGCGCCTGGAGTGTGTCCGCCATGCTTTGGCTTGTTTAGGTCTTCGAGGTATGGGATTTCATGCACGCCGACGGAAAAGAGGCAGGGCAGGCGCAACAGCTCTTCGGTGCCGGGTGTGAGGAGCTCGGTGTCGCGTGGTGATATACTGGAGAGAATGGAGAGGTTATACACTAGCAGCGTCAGCATCATGACCAGTCAATGCGCTGCAGAGCATGAAAGACGTACCAAATTCGCAAGCCGTTCTCACGGGCGGAATGCCCACAAACAGTATCCTCTTCCTCAATAGCGCAGCCTGCTGCAGCCGAAACACCAATGGCCCAAACACATCCAGAAACCGCTGAATCGACAGCGCAGGATGATACGCAGGCAAGCTCTCCTCATCCTTGAGCGCCGCGCTGACCGTCGAAATGGCGCGTTCCCTACTATGCCCTTTTCCCTCTCCCTTCCCATCCTCGCTCCCATACCCCCTCCTCTCAACCTGCTCCCTCCAAAACTCCTCCAGTGGCGCCACCGTCTCCGCATCCTCCACCAGCGCCGCAGCCATCTTCTCCAGCCTCCCCGCCAGCAACCACGCCCGTCCCAACCTCCCAAACTCGCCCTCCTTCTTCACCAGCACCCCTACAGAAATAAATTTCGCATTGCGCTCCTCATCCCCCGCCTCTCCCTTCGCAAACGCGCTCAGCCCAGCATATCCCTGATGCGTAAAGTAGACAAGATCGCTCTGCACGGCATGCAATCCCGACGGCAACGATTTATATTCCACCGCGTTCTCGAGCTCAATGTCCGGCGTCGCTGTGCGTTTCCAACTCACGGTGTACCTGGCAAACGTTGGATTCAGCTTCGTTGACGGTACGTACTTACTCGGCAAAACACAAGGGAGCAAAAAGGTTTGGGGGGGAAAATGACGTACCCGACTTTCTTGTCGAAGCGGATTAAGAAGAGGGCTTCGACGCTCGGCGCGTCCTCGCTGGGCGACGGCGTGGAAGTCGTGCTCGATGTGCGCGAGGCAGACATGGTGGTGTGCCAGCTGCGAAGGGGGGATTGCAGTTGCGCGGCTGCAAGCCCGCTTGATGCAACGGGCGGGCGGCCGGG